GCATGCGTTCCCAAAACTCATCCAATCGCTCTGGAGCAGACTCGTTTTTTTTAGATCTGGGCTATTGAGACGATTTTTGACGATTTTAGCCGTGAGCTTCGGGTTACCGTCTTGCTTGAAAGTAATCTCCAATATGGGTCAACAATATTACATATTTGTCTATAAAATTTGACAAATTGTTTTCCAAAATATGAAGACAATATTCTTTCATCAATATACCATCGATTTAACCAATTGGACAACGTTCCATGAGTGGACGCTCTGCACACTACCGGTCTGACAGCGGTTGTTAACCAGAAAAAACCTACCCTGTCTGACAAAAAGTACAGCGTGTCTTAAATTTAGCGAGGGGCACAGCAACTGGACTAGGGAAGATTGGAAGAAGGTAATTTGGTCAGATGATACCAAAACAAACCGTTTCCAGCCTGATGGAAATGAATACCACTGGAACCGCCCAAGTGGAAAGCTAAAATATCATCAGTTCAAGGAAACAATAAAGCACTAGGTGGAAGCCCGACAGTGTTGGGCTGCTCCAATTGGTGGAAAGTTGAACATGTATCTATACGTGCTCGCCACTGTATATATAGGCGGACCATAGGAGATATTTCGGATCAAATTGAGCTTTCAGGAGGCCACAACAGTTGGCAGAAACAAATATTATTTAATTCGGATCTAGAGGTAGAGCTTGGAGGCGACCACTCGCACAAATAACTGCACACAAGTTGGAACACCGAAGAGTTGTACTTATCTATGGAAATTGGACTGAGGTTGACTTCTCCTTTTTATACCCGATACTCAAAATGAGCATTTGGGTACATTAGTTTTGTGGTGTAAATGGATGTGTGTAACGTCCAGAAGGAATCGTTTCTGACCCCATAAAGTATGTATTTTCTTGATCAGCATCAATAGCCGAGTCCATTGAGCCCTGTCTGTCTGACCGTCCCTATCAGCGCTTAGTGCTCAAAGACGTCAAGAGCTAGAGCAACGACATTTTATATCCGGACTTCTGTGATATGTCACTGTTACAAGTATATTTCAAACCTTTGCCCCGCCCACTTCCGCACCCACAAAGTTCGAAAATCTGTAGCATCCACAATTTTGAAGATACGAGAATGACAATATCTTCTAGACTGAAGAATCTGAACCAGCCCGAATGAATACCAAATTCATTCTCTCTCGCTCTGTCTCCTGATCCACACTTTTTATGGTCGGCTTTGCCTATTGTTAAAAATGAGCGCCTAGATCTCAGAGACTATTAAGGCTAGAGTAACCAAAGTAAAGTAACCACACATTGTCGCTCAATGTAGCCATACTGACTATGTATCGGGTATAAATGTAGAGTTGCGGTCGCCGCAGCATCTCACAACGTTCCCCCTCGTTTATAATGCGAAGACCCGGCTCGAAGGACCTACGCTAATATCGAGCCGTAGTTATCCAACGAAGAGTATGGGCGGTATTGTAGAATAACTCCAAGCAGTCGTCGTATTAAGAATTGCAGGTAGTGTCGATAAGTGCATATATATGTCGTATATTTCTGTGATTCGTGTAGTATATAGGGCGGTTGAAACGGGGAACTTAACTGCCTCTAGCTTAAATGCTAAGAAAATATCGAGCGCCGTGCGGATAGCAAGAGCGCACAAAGCCGAGAAAACGAGAGCGGGTCAGAGGGCGATGTAACTGGCGCAAATAGCGGTACCCAGCAGCGATAACAGGCTGTTAACATAGAATACTAAAAGCGCGGTTGCCCTGTTACAGCTGTTCCCCACTTATAAAAATGTACTAATGCTAAGTGTTTGACAGTCCAGGTTCAACCGGAACTGGAATTCCTGTGTGTAAAACGGATTCTTCCCGCTTTCACTATATTCATTACTTGCTCGTATATTCCACCTTCTTCGGCTATCTCTATTTATGAGCAGCATTAGTCCGCTTTAACCGCTGTTTCATCTGCGCTATCAGATAAAGATCATATGATAGTTCTTGGTGACTTCAACTTGCCAGGAACTGTTTGGTCTTCGGTAAACGAGTATAGTAACCTAGTGTCCATGTCACGACATGACTTTGTTGACGGCTTGCTTAACCTGTCCTTGTCTCAAGTCAACCATGTGAAAAATTCCTTGGGTCGATTGCTTGATCTGTGCTTTGTATTGGATCCGACCTTAGTGTTGTTAACCCGAGCCCTTCCGCTTACTATACCTGAAGACGCCTACCATCCTAATTTCGAAGTGTCGCTAGATATAGCACCAACTGTATTTAATCGGTCGAGTAGGCCACTTGAAAAAAGAGTTATCCAGCTTAAAAAAATTAAAATCAAGACTTTATACAAAATTTCACGAAGTTGGTTCTCACTCTCGCTATGTAACAGCTCTGTCAAACTTTTCAGTTCTTAATGCACAATGCTATAAGAACTACCTATCTCGATGCAGGATACGTTTTTCTCAGGACCCTAAACAGTTTTACTGCTTCGTAACCAGTAAGCGTACAATGTCCGCACACACATCCTCGCGATCATTTTGTAATACGTCGGCAAATAATGATCAGGCAATTGCCGATCTTTTTGCCCAATTTTTCAAAACCACCTATTCTGAGGAAAGCTTCTCTGGTCATCCGTACCCATACGGTTTACCGAGGTCGAACGGCATTTTCAGTCCCTTGTTAAATGAATGTTCTTTACTTCATGATCTTTGACTAGTTAAGCCGGTATTTTCACCGGGTCCAGACGGGGTTCCTGGTTGTGTTCTCAGGTACTGCTACTCTTCACGATTTTAGCCGTGAGCTTCGGGTTAACGTCTTGCTTGAAAGTAATCTCCAATATGGGTCAACAGTATTACATATTTGGCTATAAAATTTGACAAATTGTTTTCCAAAATATGAAGACAATATTCTTTCATCATTATACCATCGATTTAACCAATTGGACAACGTTCCAATAATTGGACGCTCTGCACACTACCGGTGTGATAGCGGCTGTTAACCAGAAAAAACCTACCCTGTCTGACAAAAAGTGCTGCGTGTCTTAAATTTGGCGAGGGGCACAGCAACTGGACTAGGGAAGATTGGAAGAAGGTTATTTGGTCAGATGATACCAAAACAAACCGTTTCCAGCCTGATGGAAATGAATACCACTGGAACCGCCCAAGTGGAAAGCTAAAATATCATCAGTTCAAGGAAACAATAAAGCACTAGGTGGAAGCCCGACAGTGTTGGGCTGCTCCAATTGGTGGAAAGTTGAACATGTATCTATACGTGCTCGCCACTGTATATATAGGCGGACCATAGGAGATATTTCGGATCAAATTGAGCTTTTAGGAGGCCCCAACAGTTGGCAGAAACAAATATTATTTAATTCGGATCTAGAGGTAGAGCTTGGAGGCGACCACTCGCACAAATAACTGCACACAAGTTGGGACACCGACACCACTTGACGGTGCAGTAACTGCATCGCCCCTTGAAAGATGCAGTCATTGCATGTCAACGTCCAAGAAAAAAAATTGGACTGGGGTTGACTTCTCCTTTTTATACCCGATACTCAAAATGAGTATTTGGGTATATTAGTTTTGTGGTGTAAATGGATGTGTGTAACGTCCAGAAGGAATCGTTTCTGACCCCATAAAGTATGTATTTTCTTGATCAGCATCAATAGCCGAGTCCATTGAGCCCTGTCTGTCTGACCGTCCCTATCAGCGCTTAGTGCTCAAAGACGTCAAGAGCTAGAGCAACGACATTTTATATCCGGACTTCTGTGATATGTCACTGTTACAAGTATATTTCAAACCTTTGCCCCGCCCACTTCCGCACCCACAAAGTTCGAAAATCTGTAGCATCCACAATTTTAAAGATACGAGAATGACAATATCTTCTAGACTGAAGAATCTGAACCAGACCTGATCATTATTATAGCCCGAATGAATACCAAATTCATTCTCTCTCGCTTTGTCTCCTGATCCACACTTTTTATGGTCGGCTTTGCCTATTTGTAAAAAATGAGCGCCTAGATCTCAGAGACTATAAGAGCTCGAGTAACCAAATTTGGTATCCACACTCCTGTGATATCGAACCTGCTCAAGTGTATTTCAGAATGTTGCCCCACCACCTTCTGCCCCCGCAAAGGACGAAAATCTGTCGTATCCACAGAACTCAGAGACTATTAAGGCTAGAGCAACCAAATTTGGTACCCACACTCCTGTTAGATCTCACTGTTACAAGTTTATTTCAAAATTTCGCCCCACCCCTTCCGCCCCACAAAGAACGATAATTTTTGGCATTCACAATTTAGAAGATACGAGAAAATTAAAAACGCACAATCATAGAGAATGACCATATCTACCAGCTTGTCGAATCTGGGTTCGATCGTACCATTATTACAACCAAAAGGAAGAAATCAGTTTTCAGTGGCTACGCAGCGCCCGACGACACGATCTGACTGATTTTCTGTTTCTCTCGCACGCACTCTTTGTCGTGTCGTTCAATATAAGTGCCGTCTGGTGGCATACTGGAGGATAGGCATACTGACTATGTATCGGGTATAAATGTAGAGTTGCGGTCGCAGCAGCAGCTAACGTTCCCCCTCGTTTAGCTTAAAGTTATCATTGAAGAATATTCTTACAACTGCATTTTGGCAGATATGCATTTTTCCTATAGTACCAATATATGGAATATTTAGTTCTGCTATGCGGGTGATTTGGTCGGCTTTAAAAACGCAGTATCTCTGATCCCATGAAGAACCCCGTGTATACATATTATTGAACAGCAGAATCGATATAGCGGTGCCCGTCAGTCCGCATGTTTCTACGCAAACTAGTCCCTCAGTTTTTCAGCTTTATATCTACAACTTTTCATAGATGCTTCGTTTTCATTAATATCTATCGGAACACCCACGATCTGATCGTTTAATCAGATTGATAATCGTATGCATTTGACAGTCAATATAAAATAAGTAGAATTTCAATTTTAATATATATTTTATGTGTGTACATAGTATATGAAGTCGTTAAATAACTTACCTTGATGAGGACAGAAGTCTCCATTTTGTGGGCTATATTTGCAGCACGTAGATGATAAAGACCAATCAAAATAATCATCAATCCAACTAGATGCAGGTCGAGCAATATATGTTGCGTTTGACTGTCTGCTCGCTAAATAAATTTGAGTTAAAACGCTATCATCATTGCAAAATCGACCTGAACAAACTGAATTTTGAACCAAACTTTTTTCATATGTTAAGTTACCTTTAAGGACAAAATACACTGGTGGACCAATGTTAAGATGCTTATTCAATGATTTAAAATAATGAAGAACAAAGCTGTCTTCAGGCATAGCCAGTTCCTGATCTAGCCCAATATCAATCCTAGGGGCAATGGCAATACTAACACATAGCCAGGCAAAAAATATAATCATTACAAGAACTCTAACAATCTTTTTCATTAGAAATGGAACATAGACACTTTTAAAAAATTTGTACAGAAGCCCTTCGCTGTTATTAATAATATCAGATTTTTTTCCTTTCAAAAAACAACATATGTCTAAACGATTTTCTTCTTTTCGTTTAGTATCCAAAGTAAATAAACTAACAAAGCAAGTAATTTGTAATAGGAAATCAATTATTAAGGCGATACCTGCATATAAAGCAAAAGCCTTTACAGCAGGCATATCAGATAGGCCACCAAGAAAAAAACAAAAGCTTTCACTTAGAGAAGTTAGAAGCATACTTGGTCCAACACGACCCAAAATTCGTCCTATTTGCTGTTCATGCAGCTCATTGAGTTTTCGATGGTCTCTTTGATGAGTTTGAACAAGAATAAAAATGTTGTCGACTCCGACAGCTAATACTAAAAATGGTATTACTTCTACAATAATTAGGGTAGCAGGAATACCCGCATATCCAAATATTCCAACAGAAGAAACTACTGAAGCTAATACTATAATAACACCACCTAAACCAAGTGTTATTTTACTATCAATAAAAGTTCTATTAAATTCTTTAACATGGCCGAGCGATATTGCAATATACATAAACATAATTAAATATGAAACTAAAATTGTTAAAACATCTGATCGGGATTCTCTATTTAACTCGTCTTCTATTGACCTCTCAGTTGTAAAAGCTATATCCATGAAGTCACTTATGTTGTTTTTTTTATAATTACTCATAAACTCAACAAAAAAAGTCTCCCACCGCAGCGCATTTTGTAAATCTGTTCGTTTGTGATGATTTTTTACTAAAAACGTCAAAATTAAAGCATTTGCTAATTCGTATTTTGTGTTTCCGGAAAGTTGCTCTCCGGGTCTTAAAAATCCACCTAAAGCAATTGCAGGATCTACAGGCCCACCATAAGGAGCCAAGCATAAATATGGATTATTCGTGCATTGATATATCGCATCCAAATAAGTTACCTGGAAATAAACAAAAATATTCCTATTAAACATTTCGTGAGATCTTTCTTTTTTTATTTAGAGTTGTATTTTATTTATAAAATAATAATAATAACAAAATTTGATGTTTACTATTACTTTTGGAGCAACTTATACAACAGTCAACAGTCAGGAAAAATTATGATGATTTAAAAAAACAATAAAAATAAATGCGTGTTATCAAGGTTGAAGAATTTGGAGGGGGAAATTATTTGGTTCAATTATCAGTTCAGGTTTCTAGAGGTAGAGGTCCTATTAGATCATCCTGTTGTGCAGGTCGACTGGGTGTATTCTGGCCAGCCTACGACGGTATCTTGTTCTCGCAAGACGCCTCGCCAGTATATTAGGGTGGCTTCAGAGCTTACAAATATGGTTCTTGATTGTTGATAACATCACCAACAAGTGGTACGTTAAGGTCCTTGGGAATGTCCCGGTTACGGATATACTACTCAGCTCCGGAGATCGTACGCAGAAATTTACTCTGGAATGTCATGATCCTCGCAAGGTTAGTTTTATCGGCAATCCCATATACCTGAATGCCGTACTTCCAGGCAGGTGCTAGTATGGCTTTGTATATCATAACTTTGTTTTTTAATCTGAGATTGTTGCTTTGTTTAAATAGCCAGAACATTTTCTGGGCCTTACCCACCAACTTGCTCCTCCTGACTGTCGAAAGTTAAACTGAATGCACTTCAGTGTAACTCCGAAGTATGTGTGATTCCTACGCTGCTCCACGAGTTTCCCAAGCATGAAGACACTAGGGCTAGAGCCCATTCTTAAAGTGTGCGACACCGCTGCACACTTATCAGGCTTCATGGAGATGTTCCATCGGCAGGCCCAGTTTTCAAATAGCTTGACGTATTGCTGTAGATTGTCTGTGGCATCATAATCACAGCTAGCCCTCGAGAGTACTGCTGTGTCGTCAGGAAATGTTGCCACCTTGAGGGTCTGCCCTGGTTGCCTTCAGACTGTAGAGGGATTTGGCATGTTGTGGGTAAATAAGCAGTACAGTGTCGGCCCAAGCACGCTGCCTTGCGGTGCTCCTACCATGATGGTCTTGGTCAAAGAAGTTACACCATCCTAGACTACACGGAACGTCCTCTCCGTCAGAAAGCTTTTGATAACTTCATACAACTGAGGCTTGAGCATCTCTTTGATTTTAGCGAGTCGTCTCTCGTGACAAACTCGGTCGAAAGCCTGCGAAATATCCAGGTAAACAGCTACTGTGTACAGCTTGTTTTGGAAGCCGTCTAGTCTGTGTTCCACTATCCTGTGTAGCTGTTTGGGTGTGCCGTGCTAAAGTCTGTACCCAAATTGGTAGTTTGGCAGGGCTGTTTTTACCAGCGGCGACAGTACCCTTCGTAGGATGCAGCGCTCAAACATTTTGCCAAAATTCGAAAAGATACTAATTGGTCTATGGTTACCTAGGTCTTCTTGTGGCTTTCCTGCGAAAGTATGCGAAAGTATGCTAATCTCAGCGACGCGTTAAAGATTAGCAACAGATACAGAATCGCTGTTTGGTAGCGCCTTTGCCACAACATTGTCAATCCTATCGTCGCCAGGGACCTTCTTGGACTTGAGTTTCTTTATGTCTTTCGAGATTTCTTGAAAAGTGATTGGCGCCACAGGGACCTCCATCTGGTGGGTCTCATTCAGCCTCTCAGAGACCATCATTGCTCTTCTACTAGATGTCGTCCGGAATGGTGTTATTCTTTCTTCCAAGTTCGTCGCAAAAGCCTCCACTCTGTCCATTGCTGTTCTTGCCTATGAGCCGTCAGCCTTCCTTACCAGAAAGCGAGGTGTAGGTTGCCGCTTGTAGCGTCCGGTGGTCGATGTTTTTTCTGAAACATCCATGTTTTTGCAAGACACCCCACATTTTGTTTGAGAGAGGCTCTTGAATTTTTAATTAAACGACTACCTGACAGATTCTCGAGCTACGAAACCAGAACTGTTGCAAGAGTTGCCAGAGCTAAAAAACTTGTACCGCTTCATAACTTTTTCCGCTGCCTTCTTTTCGTTCTTCCTCTTCCTGGCCTATAGCTGCCGTTCGCCCTGATTAACCCTTTGCTCGGCGCTGTTAATGTTTGTGCTGTTAACGTCTGTGCTGTTAGGCGCAGTGATATTTAGAGCTGTTAGACGCAGTGATATTTAGAGCTGGCACTGCGGTTTCTGCCGTAACATTCCCCCCTTCGCAAACTTCGTCGCTTGTGGTGATGTTTGCCAAACTTCTGGTTACGCCTTGATCCATTAGTGGGTTCGTTGTCCTCACGTCTAACTTGGCCAGTTTAGCTATTGGCCGAGTTATCAGTCCAGATGCAGTGCGGATCACCGCGCTTCGGGCGATCCCGTCCTTGGCTACTCGAAGGTCCATGATGACGCCTTTCCTCCACTGCACCTTGGGGCTTGTTTCGTCCGCTAGAACCACGACGTCTCCGAGTTGGATAGGGTTGATTGGGGGTCCATGCCATTTGGTTCGTGGCGTCAGGCACGGTAGGTACTCCTTCAGCCATCGTTTTCTAAAGCTGTCCACGATCAAGCATAGCTCCTATTGCGCTGCTGTCGCTCTTTGCTGCCATCGAGCTGGTCTCTGCTCTCAGAAAGTGATTCGGTGTAAGTACGTCGGCTTCCGGACACTCCAACGGCACGTAAGTCAGGGGTCGGGAATTTAGCATATTTTCTATCCTTGCTAGTGCTGTTCTCAGCACTGGTTCTTGTACGTGTGTCTCCTCTAATATTTCGGCTAGTATGGATTTCACCGATCTGATCATCCTTTCCCACGCACCTCCCATGTGGGGTGCTCCTGGGGGTATGAAGGACCATTCTATTTGCGGGTACTTGGTTTCCAGTTCGTTCGGTAGAATTCTTTCAATTTCTTCTCGTAGTAGGCGGCTGGCTCCTCGGAAGTTCGTCCCGTTGTCCGACACGATTCTCTTGGGGACTCCTCGACGGGCTACGAACATTTCCAACGTTAGCATGAAGGCGTCTGTTGACAGGGAGTTTGCCAGCTCGATGTGTACTGCTCGCACGGTGAGGCACGTGAATAGTACTCCCCATCGTTTCTCGCGTCGTCTTCCTACGTTTACCTCCAGTGGTCCGAAGTAGTCGATACCTGTGTTTGTGAATGGCAATTCGTTGATTGCTAGCCTCTCTGGTGGTAGGCTTCCCATCTCCGGCGCCTCTGGAAGCGCTCTTTTATTGCGGCATCTTTGGCAGGTTTTCGCTACGGCGCGAACTCTTGCTCGCAGTCCTGGTATGTGGTACAATTGTCGCATCTCGTTGACGACGATCTCGGTAAGCTGATGCTGAAACTTCCGATGGAAATAATCAATGAGAAGATTAGTGACGTTATGTCCTCCGGGTAGAATTACTGGCCGTTTCAGGTTCCTCGTTATGCCGTACGCCTGTTTCATCGAGGTACGGCGATAATTTGTAGATCGAACTTTTCTTACTCACGATTCTTCCTTGTCGTAGAAGAGCCGTTCGCTTTCTTCGACCTGTTCATCCCAGCCTACGCCCGACCTCCACACGTCCTGCAGTATTATCTTTGCCTGTATAATATAGAACCCCAATAGTCCTAAGGGATCGAAGATGGTCATGACTGTACGTAGAATTGACCGCTTCGTCACAGTTTTCGTTTCGTCGTATATGTCATTCCGAAACTTATTGACGAAGGTGAAGTAATCATTCCTTGGATGCCACCACATACCAAGCACTCGTTCTCGTCTTGTCGAGTCCGTCATCTCGATGGGTCGTTCTTGATGATCTCCATCTCCTGAGAGCGCTCTCATCACGGTGCTCGAGTAAGATATCCATCCTCTCATCTCGAAGCCTCCTTCTTTGTGTATGTTCCTCACTGCCAGCGCTAGATGGACCATTTCGTCTTCTGAGTCACAGCTTTAGAGCCAGTCATCTATAAAGGTGTTGCGAAATATGGCCTCTACTTCCTCTCTTTGTTCCTTGATGAACCTTTCTGCGTTCCTATCTCTCACGTAGGTCGTTGCTGCTGGGGAACAAGAAGCACCAAAGGTCATTACGCTCATTACGTACCTATCCGGTTCTCGACTGGTGTGACCATATCTCCAGAGAAACTGCTGTGAGCTTTGATCCTCCGAACGTATCCTAACCTGGTGAAACATTTCTCTAATATCTCCACAGATGCCAATAGACTTCTCTCGAAAGCGCGATATTACTCCTACCAGCGATGGCAATTGGTCGGGGCCCTTTAGTAGCATTGAATTTAGAGCGATGCCTTCCACTTTGGCTGCTGCATCCCACACGAGTCATAATTTGCCTTTGTTCGGGTTCTTACTCACGAATACGGGCAGATACCAGGAGCGTTTGCCTTCGACCATTTCATCTTTTTTGAGTTTTCGGACGTAGCCGATGTCTTCGTACCTCTTAATCTGTTCGTTTACGAACTCTCGTAGCACTTTATCGCGTGTCATACGAGATTCTAGGCACCGAAGTCGTCGCATTGCCATCTCTCTGGAAGAAGGAAGTTCCACGTTGTCGTACCGCCAGAGAAGTCCTGTCTCCCATCTCTTCATTTCGCTGCTAAACCTCGTGGAATTTTCCAGTATTGTTTTTGCTCTTTCGTCCTCTTTGGACCTGAGTGTGCCCTTCGCCATGTTTATGCCAACCGCGTCTAATGAGAAACTCTCTTTTACAAGAATGTCCAGCTGTGGGTGTTTATTACATTCGCATACGTGCATTACCCGCGGACTCGCTGGCCCGTCGCCCTTTCTGCGGCCATAAACAGACCACCCCAACCTTGACTTGGCGGCGATAAGTTCGGAATTCTCGCGTTCTTTGACAGTCAGTGGCACTCCAAGTTTCACGTTGTCCAATCCGATGATCAATGACGCTCTCACGTCCTTGTAGCTGACTATCGGTAGCTTTTCCAGGTGCGAATGGGATCTTAGGATTGAGTCGTCCAGCGTCTGCTTCGGCAGATCCAGGTTTTTTTACTGTTCTCACGTTTT